AAACTCTGCTGCACTTGATCATTTATCGTACTTGTACCAGAGTTGAACTTAAATATTCCATGCCTATTTTATATGCTGACCACCATATAAAAGAAATCTAATCAAAAGTTCTCCAATATTCTGTTAATAGCATTTTCCCCTTAACATTTAAAAATCCTCAATATACAGACAGTCCAAAACTTACCAAAATGTGGTAAGTTTTCACTTTTATGAAGTTTTGTTTCTACTCACAGAAATAGACTCATGCCTCCACTACCCTCAGCCTAAAACTTTCACATTTGAACTATAAAGATCTGACTCTGCCATACATGACATATTTGGGTTCCTCAAGCTGCACAAGGTGTGTGAAATGCTCCTACAGATTGAAATAAACTTGTTTTCCCACAGATGTGTGAGAATATTTTTAGAAGAGAATTTTTGCATTATGTAGTATAGTTATAATCACTTGCAGCCTTAAAGCATTTAATAACTGTAATAAAAGAATCCATTTCTCAAACTGAATTAATGTAATTCCATTATGAATGCCATCAAGATTATATATTTTCACCTATAATCATGATGCCAATTCATACAAGTTCTTTAAAACCCAAACTTGTTTTCAGTCCACTTCATAACCCACAGTTTCACTACTTTGATTTTCTGAAAACAACAGGACACGAAATTTTCTAACTATTGACCACTAAGCAGAAAATAATTTCACAGCTGTACGTTCTCTAACATCTTCTTTTGTGCTGTCAGGGGCCACGTTATTATCTGAAATAAGAGCTTCCCTTTTTATTGACAATATTTTTTCTTCACAGAATTGGTTTACATAGTCCTTGTTACTGCCCGTCACACCCAGCATTTCCTTTCAGTTGTTCACTTTCCTCTGATACAGAGCCTGCTGCAGCTTAAGAGCATTTTCCATCCCTTCCATCAGAGGAGTCTTTAGCCATAAAGACTTGCATGGTTGCAACGGGCAAGTCAACCATGGTGTACTACACTGGCACTTCACAAGCAGGTCTACCTGCACTTCTTATGTGAACTAGCTTCAGAACAGCAATTTTCCAGCACAACATCTGTATTTCTATTTTACCCATTAGCTCTGAGTGCTGAGGATGCCAGTGCTTTCTCCAGCTTCTGTGTTTAACAGCACATAAGGTGAATGCATGAGAAAGTAGGTTCTTTCAGTTGCCTTCAGCCTGCTTTGTGTTGGTCCAGTATCTCAAACCCTATGGAAACCCAGGTGGCATGGTAGCTTCCCAGGGGCAGCGTATCTCCTCGGAGATGCGCAACCACAGACATTCAAAGTGGAAGTGGGCAGAAGACCAAAGCCCACCAGCTCTAACAGCACAGACACACCAAAAACCTGGTATCGTGCACCCTGCCTGTTGTCAGAGAGAAAAAAAAAGAGGAGAAAATACTGTTCATACTGTGCCTATACCACCCACATTCACTCGTAAAGTGAAAGTGCACGAAGCGAGAAGGGATGGCTTTGTAGTCAAACCATTAGACCAGGAGTTAGGAGACCTGAGCTTTCATCACAGTCCTACAAGAAATTCCTTGTGGATAAACCACAGTCTTTCTTTGACTTTGATGTTTTTCTCTAAAAAAAAATAAAAATGGCTACTTCTTGCCGACAGCTGTAATTAATGACCAGTTCTTTGGAGATCAAATTCATCCATGTTTATTAAGTGCTTAGAGATGATTAGTTGGACAGCAATATAGCATTGCTAAAGTGTTGTAACTGTAAAAGCTCACATTGAAACTATTGTCCTACAGATGTTAAAAATGACCATTTTTATGGGCATTATTAAGACCATAAAGTAGAGACATATAAATTACAAATTAGGGAACTCTAGATTTTAGCCATAGTGGCTTGTTCAGCTGGTAGTTCTTGCATGCAGAGCTACAGTGTACATTTACACACATCCATACATGATTTTTGTCTTAGCTGTTTCCATATATTAAGGGCAAGAATCAGTGCTGTTCCATGCACTCCACCACATTTCATTTCGACAAGTAGGGAAGTCCAAAACAGAGTTATCTCATGGTGGGTGCTGTGCCTTTTTATTAGAAAAGCATAACCTATACTTTAGAAGTGAATGATTTACTATGTACTATATAAGAAATCTCCAGCAGATGTCCCCCGGGTCTGAATTCCCATATCGTTGCGACTTCTCTTTCCACATGTTACAGCAGATGCTCAAGAATGAACTCATCTTGACTGGTAGCTAGACTTGGCTGTCACTAGGAGATCCCCACCAGTTTCCCTTTTGTATTCAAGATTCAGGGTTTTCTGTCACCAATAACTCTAAAACAAGAGCTAGAAGCTATATTAAAGCAGCGCCCCCAGAAGCCAGTCTCTGCTCTGCCTGCCTTGTTCCTGTTCATGTTCCTGTCATGAAAATCAGCCTGCCCTGTCCCTGCTAACCAATGAGAAAAGACAACTTTGGGTTTTGGTCTTCCTACCAAGACTTCTCAGTGGTGTATAAGGAATCGCATTTGTAATTGCTCTTTGCAGTCTTCGTTGCGTTATTGCAACTTACTCATAACCTACGGGTTTCCAGTTTTTGCCACATTTGCTCTTAGAGTACTGCCCCTCGCTTTGCCCTCCCAACTGATTTAGCCTGTTAAGAGAAAGCTGGAGACTGCTTTGCTCATGCTGCCTGCCCCTTTCCCCCCTTGCAGCCCCGTGCTCCGCGGGACACAACCTGCGGTCAGTTCTGTCAAACAGTTGATGATTCGGTTCCACCATTTCAGTTCTGTCTCCTCTCATTTGTGAGATGGGAAAGTCCTGGAAGGGAGTTATTTAGATATTCCTCCTCTTCCCAGAGCTGTTCAGATTTCCGTAACCTGTGCAGTTATTTACGACAGCTTGGAGTCATGGAAATGTATCACTGCTAGGGGAGACCTGCCATAATCCAAACCAGTATTTCAGCTACTCACTTTACCGGTGTTTTTAACACAAGTGCCCTCTGTTGAATTTTCTGTCCTCTCCTGGACAGCAACTGCTTCCTTCCTGGAACAGCTGATTAAGCTCTCTTTTTAGTTGCTCACTTCTTACGATATGAACATCCATCAGGTTTGCCCTTGAAGAGTGTGATCAGTCTTCCAGAGAAAGTTCCTCACTGAATTGCTATTAAACAATCAATATTTCTAGTTGGATGTAAGGAAACCTGGTTCTCTCTTCCCTCCTGGTCACAAATCACCACATCGCTGCTTTTGTTTCTGCTCTCCCCAGACCTCTTAAAATTGATCTTTTCCCTTGTGGCAGGCCTGAACAAAGATTTCAGCAACCGGCTGTCCAATAAGTCATTGCTTTGGATGCTGCACAGCGTTAAAGTCAGTATCTCCAGACTGGTTTCCGTCTCCTCTACCAGGTCTCCCAGCTTCCAACTCGAGAAACAGAGATCGCATTTATCCTTCAGCAGAAATAAAACAGAGTGTATCTGGTGCACGTAACTGCAGTAACTCGCTAGGCGTCCATATTCTTAATAAAACGTAGTGTCCCCCTTGCACAGAAGGGAGCCAAATGCCCTCAGTTGCCATTTCGCTAAAGAATACTCTACAAATCACATAGATTTAGAGTTCTTACATCCAATGTTTTTTGCAGTTCTTCATGTTCATGCGCTAAAAGGGTGTTCATTGATTTAATAAAGCCAAGGTCTAGAGAGATCTATAAATACAAGTATTTTACCCTGATGCATTATTGCCCTGATGCCCAGGACTGAACTTCTGCTCCTTCACAGATAAATTGCTTCCTCGCTGGTTAACACCAACTTCCATTAGCAAGAGTGGTGGCAGACATATTTGGGAAGGTGATCCATGATAAAACACAGCTTCGTGTCTTTTTTTGTTTTCCCTTTGATTTCTTCGCTCACCACATCCCATGCTCCTCCTTTCCCCATCCCCCTCTACTCAGAAGAATCAATAACTAATTATTTATCACTATTATTAGCTAAAAAGTTATCACTGAGTCTCACTTAAAATCTATTGAACTCAATGCAGTGATATACACCAGCTTCGCAGGGTTCAAGATCAGGGTCCTACAGTTCCCAAAATTGCATTCTAAAAGGCAGTCAGAAACAATTCTTTAAGTCTTTTATAGACTTATAATAATGCCAGCTAATGCTAATATTAATAGCAATAATAGAAGGAGGGAGACAGTTATCTCGATATTTCAGCCCTAAAGTAGAACACTTTCTGTATGTTCAGCTACTCTGTAACTTCCAAAACGTAAAGCGTAGTGCTTTCTGGTCTATACTTTTCTTTGCATTCAATAGCAAGTTAAGGTTTATGGCTTCCTTTTAAATATTTTGTACAAAGTTTTATTTTCAACAACTGTTTTTCAGTAAGTCCTAAAGCCTTGGCTTGTCCGGCTGAACTGCTCCCAAAAATGCTTAACTCCAAAGCAGAGTCACAAGGAAAGGGAATGTATCTCCCCAAAATGTGTATCAGCTAGTGACGTTATTAACCCCTGAATTCCCAGCACAGCAGGCAGCGCCATCCTTGGAACAAAGCGCTCTGAGGAAAGCATCACTTGTGCTTTCGCTGCCCTCTCCTTACAGCGCGTGGAGTCACATTGCAGCCTTCACCTTGCACCCTTGGGCAGCTCCTCAGCCGCTGGCGTGTGAAACTAAGCACGCGGGAGCTCGAAGCAGCCACGTTTCCAAACCTTACCTTTCACCCTCTTTTGCTGAGCTACGTGCAAAGACTTTCATGTGTGGCCCCTGACTTTATGAAAAACCGTCCTCCCTCCAAATTCACATGGTAGATGCAGTTTCACAATGTCATATTAAAGTCACGTACAACTTTGTGCCTGAGAGTTTTAAAGTCAAAGAAATGATTGCCAGGTCATGGATTGGATTACTTTCCATTAGCTCAGCTCTGAGATAACCTTGTGTTACACGAAGGCGACCGTGGCACCCAAGATTGGATTATGTGAAATATTCCCTTCTCCGTGCAGTTACTTTTTAGTACAGGTGTGAATGTTCTTACTATCTGAAATCCAAACTTACCAGGCAAACACACATTATACACGGGTTGTCTGTGATAAATGGTATCTGCAGAATTTCCCCTTCATTTTCACATTTTGCAACAGATCCTGAAATAGAAATAAAAATTTTAAAATACTGACATATTTCAGTTCCCCCAGCTGGTTTTGGAAACTGTCCTCATTGCACTCACATTTAACCCCTGCTCCATTCTTAGCCTTCGATTTTAAATCTTGCCTTAATTTGCCCGTTTTAAGCAAGCAAGGATGTTCAGTTTTTCTATAAGATTCCAATGGGAACTGGGAAATGACTGGCCTTTTATTGCCGCACAAACCTAGACTTTCTTTGTGCCCCAGTTATAGCAAAGAAGGACGCTTTTTCTCTTCTCAGATGACGTGTGGAGAATAATGAGTACTCCATGCAAAGCAGGATACTGCTATAACGACAGATCCAGAGCTCACTGAAATCAGCAGAAAGCTGTCCATTAGACCCTGAGGACTTGGACTGGGAGTACAGCGCGAGCCCTAAACCAAGCATCCTTTTAATGCACGACAGCCAATTGGCAAATGAGTCAAAATTAGCAGGCTGACTGTCAAACGGAATCAAATTAGAAACCGCTTTATGGCCCTCGTGTTGATTAGCCGGTATTGTGTCGTATTGGAATCACTTATTGAAATCTAATGGCTCCTCACTTACACTAGAAATTGATTCAACGTTTCCCCCTCCGTAGCCCAGATAGCAGGAAAATATAACCCTCGAGGGGAAGCAGGAAAAAAAAAAGGGGGGGG